ACTGCCAAAAATCGTAGAGTGTTCGGAATTACTATTTCCTTATGATGAGAAGTAACTAATCAACCCATCTGCTATCTGGACTCCTCTAACTCATCGTTTTTCTTGCTATCTCGAAATCCCTGGTTATGGTTTTGGCGTCAAGACATCAGATTCTTCTAAGAGATAGAATAGACAGGAATTTCAACACACGTCGAATCACATAAACTAGTACTTCCCAAATCAGTAAATGACGGCTTCAGTATATAATCCCACTAGAAGACGATTACGAAAATCAAATGGAATTCCAATTTTGAATTTCATGCAGCCTTCGTTACTATATTCGGTCGGCAGAGGACCGGAAGAATATACACTCACAGAGATCGATGAAGACTACAACCAATTTTCATCACTCAATGCATGATGTTGGTCATCCTTCAAAGTGGTTTTTGCCGGACACCACTTCGATTCGTACTTACACATGACTGACAGTCAGTACGGAAACCTATGTTTACCTCATGATAGAGCAGCTCCTAGCCCCATACTCACCAACTTCACTTTGCCTGAGAGAACCAATGGCATACGAACATCTCAAATATACAGTGATTCAGGCTTTGCTTCTATATACTCAATTCAGTCAAAGCTGGTCGTAGAAATCATTCATTTGATGTTGATCACAATGATTGCAGTCGAATGGACTCTAAGGTAGATATGCTCAGAATCAATTCTCACTCTGAAGTCTCGTCAGTGAGGTGCAAATCTCTTCTAGGAAAAATCAGTATTATTCGTTCAAATCGACAAACCCATTCACAGCGGCAGTTAACCTAGTCTCAGGTCTAGAAGGATCTCTGGAAGGATTATAAGAGTAGCCAATTGATTACAAAGTTGCTATGTAATCGATTGATTGCTTTTTGCAGTGAATCACCAGATGGTGATTGAAGGTAGGTACTTCATGAGGTATTTGAAAGAAGGTTTATGACTGTTACATCAGCTGATCAAATGAGATTACATTCGAAGTCATTTTCATCTGTTTCAAGCTCTTGTGAGTCGATCACTTCTGTGACTAGTGTTCGATGATCACTCCACGTGATATTCGAAGTAGTGAAATTAATAAACTCACATCAGATGGATGTTTTGCCTTTCAATACTGTCGCTCAAGTTGCTGCCTTCAAGCCGACTGTCCGCAGGGGAGCTCGACTTTCGATCAGTCGCACCCCATTGGAATCATGAGAGTGGTCAAAACGTGATTCGGGAAAGAAATCGATGTAGAACTCAAGGAATCTCGCATATTCCTGCCAAGAAGGGTGGTTGCCACTTTCAAACCACTGCTGATTTTGAAGGGGAGTGGGACCTCATTAAGAAAACTGCAGTCGTCTTTGAGTTAACTGATGGAACTTGTCATATTCGTTGAATCGAAAGTTATTGAACACAATTCGATTTCATTTATTATATTGGTCCTTCGTACCAGAAATTCAGCAGGGCCTGAAGGAGCTCAAGAAATAGCCTAATTGGAAAGAGTGTTCCACCAGAGAGATTTTCAGCAGTAGACAAACCAAATCTCAATCAAATTATGTCTGGCGTATTAGATCATACGAGAGTTGCTGGTGAAGTTCATTTTGTTGAAGCTCCGAATCTGGAATGGTCCTCCATCAATGATGTAGAACGTCGACTTACGAGGTTAGATGAAGAGGGAATATCATCCTCGTCCAAGAGAACTACTCTCTCCAAATTAGACCTAGAGCTCAAACTCATTCAGAAGCAGAGATAATCTGATGAAAGAGAGTTCGAACAAAAATGAGATGAAGCTTTCAAGATGGCGGAGGAGTTGGTCATTCCTTGGTGGATATATTGAAAAATTGTTGTTCTAAAATTGTTTTATCCGTCATTCGGTTGCCCCCTTACGAGCAACCCTCCAGAAGTCTTCGAGAGTCTTGTGCAAGCAAGAAATAACGAGGGCCTTACCTTCTAACGTGTGATCCCAAACACTTTCATGGGCCATCAGAAAAATGTCAGCAGTCGCTGGGGATCGAACCCACGATCGGCAAGCGAATGCGGATTAGAATATTGACACTCTGCCTGCACGGCTACCTGGCCACCTAGAATAGCCATCTGAAAATAGTCACGATAACGATCAGGCGATTTCGAAAAATAAATTTCAAACAATTTGTGTCATATAGGTCTGGGGGAGGAGGGAACTTTTGGCAGCCTGGATCGCACAGGGGCACGTGTGGATTCCAAGATTCCTTGAATGACTATAAGAATGCTTCTTGCAGGTTTATGTCAGCTCAGATTCCGAACTCGAGGAGGAAAATCACTCCAAGCGCTCGTGGAGGAGGATGCGAGAAAATGGGAGAAATGGAATTCGATGTTCTTGAAATACCTCGAAAAATGCAGAATATATTCATTGTACACATTCTTCTTCACTTCTCAAATATCGTCTAGTCACATTTGTCAAACGACTATGAATAACAATTGAAATCATCCTTCCCATGCTCATACTCTCTTCTTCCTTCCATCTCTTCCCCATCTCTCCCTTTATCACGTGTTGCTCACACTCTTCGTCATTTTCATTGCTGAGATTCCTGGCGTTCCAGTGATTAGTTCAGATTATTCCCAAACTATTGTTGCACGCAATATTTGTTTTCTACAGCCGCATAATAACCAAGGGCATGTTTCAATGGGGCAGGAACAGGAAATCAAATAGAGAGTTTAATCTGGAAACTGCGCGTATCCGCATACCTCAGATCAAGGGCGAGACCTTCAGAAAGCAGCATACTAAAATATTTTGGAATCCTGTGCTCTTTCCATTTTATCCACAGAATGCACGTCATTTCATGCTACAATAAATTCATGAATCTCATCGATAACACTCTGTTCCCCCCTACTTCCGCACCCCCTTTCACGAGTACAGGAGGTATTTCTTCACTCCCGTATTCGGATTCAGCGCCTGCAAAAACCTCCAAAGAGCATTTTTCTCTTTCACTTGGAGATCCCCGGAATTCACGTACCTTAGCGCCCCATTTCTTTGAACGAAATGCATTAAACTTCATTTGAATCGATCCTGTACGACAAAGTTGCTTCATTACGGGAAACTGAATTGCACGACACAACAACTCTTCATAGGACACCCTATATTTTTTATATCCGAATATAAATGATCACTAGTACTCCGTGAGTGATGAATTCAACCCTCATATGGAACATGCAGGAATTAATGGTTTTTGAGATTATCAAATTTTCCAGCTTTCTTCTGAAATGCTGAGTTTTAGGGTTCGAAAGTTTTCACAAAATCTGCTGTACAATTTTCGTATCTTTCAACTAGAATACATCATCAATACTATAGTATATTTTTTAGAATGATGAAAATCCAGTAATAATTTAGTTCATTGATGAATTGTAAATAGTGAGTCGTATTTTTGTTTGTGAAATGTGGACTTCAACACTGTCTAGCGGTTATTATCAGAAGAATCCCAGAAGCCACATATGTCAAAAAAATTTAAAACTTCCTTGAGGCAAAAGGGTATAATAATGATACTTGAAGTGCTGAAAACGGGTTTGTTATTTTGAATGCATGAAACAATAGTTATTTATTATACAAGGGAAAAAAGTAGTAGATTTTAGCTCCAGGTTGTGTTGTCTCCCGACGCGTAGCGGAGGGAGACAACAAACCGTGAGCTAAAATCTAATATTTTTCCCGTGTATAATACACTATTTTTTTCTGTGACAGAAGAAAGGACGAATCAATATTGAGAAGATATTACATTATTTTGATAACTGAAAATTATCGACGTGAAATTTCAAGTTATTAACAGTAGGGACACCGCGTTGTAGGCATCTTTATCATTCATTTGAAGTAATCAAATATCTGATGTCACTTCTGTCAGTCCAATTTTGTGATTTTATTTCAAGAAGTTGCGAATTCAGTGGTTATTTAGCAATATACGTAACCGCGAAGTCGAATGGAAGATAAAAGGACTTGCAGTTCTTTCTCGGAGAGACGGTATTATTGACTCATTTTTCGGAACTATAGCACAACACAAGCCATCAACAGTGTATATATATGTGATATATATCCGGGAAAGAAGTACTCACTTTTTTCCCACGGGAAAAAAGTAATTTATGAAAAGTGACATTTTATAACCTGCCAACAGGGATGAAATGCCAAACTTTTTTCCCGTCACAGAAAAAATGTGTTTTGGGCGTTTTCTTCGGCCCAATAATGGTGATTTGATGTTTTGTTTTTCGGATGCCTCTGGAGCAAATAAACGGAAAAAAATAAAATGTTGCTGCATTGCCAAAAATATATTCTGATCGAAATTTCTCAAGAATGTTCTCACTATTTTCACAATATAACAAACCCGTATTTCAGTGTGATTTGTACCCATCAGTTGCCTCGAGGCAGTCTTAACAAGTTTTTGACAAAAAATGTTACATAGGGGTTCTTCCGAAAATAATTGCTAGAAAGTGTTTGAACGACAATTCACAAATAAAAATACGACTTTGTATCCAATATTTATTATCTGCATTTCAGTCGAAAGGTTACAAAAATAAACAGTAGACCAACTTGCAGCCCTTGGAGTCTACGTTCTGGAGGAAAGAAGAAAAACAAAAATATTTTGAAAACTATACACTTTCGCAGAATGCATATTTGGGTTGAATTCACTTCTCACCACCTACCCTATCGCATATTCGAAGGAATGTTTCGAATTACCAGTCACCCTGTATATTAATCAATTCTTGCAATTACCATTTTGCTCTCGATTTGAGGTTTCCAGATTCTTTGTTTCCGTAAGCGTGAATTCAAAATTACCATCGCAAGTTTTGTTGGCTCTGACTGAATTCTCCTCATTATCATACTCACCATCTTCGAAAGGCGAAACTGCTTTCCCGATCCCACAATAGTGTTCAAGCTACTCGACGCCACAATTCTGATGATTCAATTTGAATTCACTTTGTCTGTTTTATTTACACAGCGAAACCCACACTTTGCATCGCGCTTGATTCCGATATTGTCCTACAGGATCTTACGGTCCTGCCACTGCCACCAAGATGCTCAGGAGAACAGCGAAGAGGGGGTACTCGAGCCGCAGTTGGCCGCCATGTTGCATCGCAGCAGGATATTCCCCTGCAAAAAAAATGAAGTTTCAGTTTTTCAAACATGGGGAAGTATTTTTGTTCAAATGTTTCAATATATGATGAATTGATATACATCTGAATTGAGAAAACTCTATCACGAATCTATGATAAGAGGTCTGTTGAAATAACAAATTTTCATCTTTAGAGTTTGAACCACTTGATTGAAAATGAAAGTTTCGAAAATCACTTTGTTACTTGTCAGATATATTATGAACATAGAAAAAATGTATACATATCAATCAGGTAGCTTTGCGAACAGAGTGTCAATATTCTAATCCGCATTCGCTTGCCGGTCGTGAGTTCGATTCCCATCGACTACAGAAATTTTTCTGATGGCCCAAGAAAGTGTTTGGGATCACATGTAAAAAGGTAAGGCCCCCGTCATTCTTTGCTCGCAAAAGACTTTCGATGACTTCTGAGGGTTGCTCCTAAGGCGACAACCGAATGACGGATAAAACAATTTTAGAACAACAACAAAATACATCGAGAATTCGCATTATTTATCTGGTGAAAAATATCATCTCTTTATCGGTATCTTCAACAGAAATAACTACTCTGCTCGCTATATGTCATGACAAATATTGAATTCGACAATGAAAAAACTGAAATCGACTGGAATTGGGAATTACAATTTTCCCTTGTAAATATACAGGCTGATCCACGGTGGATGGCCTATTTGAAGTATCTGGAGAACGAGAAAACAGAACATTCTGAAAATTCGTATGATCCGATAATTGAACATTCTCTATCCGTCTAAAATATTTTCATCGATACAGTGTTGCCACTTCTATCAGAAACAACTAGCAACTTTGTTATTTCTAATGGAACACCCTGTATTTTATTGCAATTTTAGATTTTTCCTGAAGAGCTGATTTCATCGATGGATCACACTTGGTGTCTTGCAGGAATGATTACAGAGATATAGGGTGTTCAAAATCGAGAATTTTCAATTTTAGGAATTTTTTGTATCGATACTATTTCATTATCGATCAAAACGGCTCACATTTCCCTATCTTAACTTCTGATTCACTATCTACTGGAAATTGATTGGAAAGAATACAGGGTGCTTCAAGATTCAGAATTCTGATCACCCGGTATCTGCACCGAAAGAAAAATTTCAGTAATAATTATCAAATATTTGTTAACGTCAAATTTGTTCATAATCAATTAGCCATATTCATAATTGAAAAGGCTCATTCATCAAAATCGTATCTGTTTTTATGCTTTATTTATAAACAATAAATGATTTATTACTGTCATATTTGTTCATTGTGAACAACATTATTTAATAATTAACAATTCATCTATTACGCAGATTCATGAAGTGAAAATTTCAATTGACAATGACAGAGTGTCTGTTGATAAATCTATGTGTTTATTCAATATGATATACCCACGTTTGTTTATTATAAATATACGTAATATGAAGGATAACAATGGATATTTCATTTTATTCTTCGTTTGGTAATTATAACAAATCATTTGGTTATAATTAAAAAACTGTCATGCGCATGGGCCATCATTTTAGTCTAGCTTCCATCTTAGATACCGTGTGCATCTTTGTGAAATCGTTCCTGATTTACCTGTGATTTCGACCAACGCGAAAGTTATGAAGTGTGATGGTTATATTAGTTCAATTCCTTATATATGACAGTGAGTGTTTGTTTATATCTGGACATGTATATTTCATATAGGTACGACATCACACGTTATATCAGTAGAGCTTTCAATGAGTTATCGAAGTTGTGACAGTAAAAGTACAAATTTTATTACATCTATCAAAATCATTGTCAAACATTTTTTATACAATGTGTTTTGATTAATATTACATCAACATTCAGTAACATTCTCAAACAACAAATGGCAGACGACTATCAGTGCATCCCGAGGTGCATCTACATATTTTACAACATTTAGTAAGTTTAAAAAAAACTGTGCGTGCATGTGGTGCTAATCAATCGATATTGGAACATTTTGAACGTAAGTAGGTGCGAATACCTATGTAGTATGGCATGAGTATATTCTAATATCATTTGCTTCGCATGAATTTGAAAGAAAGTTATATATGTACATGGAAACGTGGGTATGCCATCATAGCTGAGAGCTGATGAGTTTGGTTATATACTCATATAAATAATATCCGTTAACTGTTACTAAATTTGTAATTGATATGAGGCTCAGAAACACCCCCTCGGAGAGATTCACGAGTGGTGGTAATAAATCAGGAAATTCAATAAATCAATAAGCAATTTTCTGAAATGAAGACATTGAATTATAATAGCGAACAAAATATTCATTCATTATCAATAAAAGGATTCTTTTCATGCTGTACTTATGTATGAATATTTGGTTACTAAAAATAAAAATTTTGAAATAATAAATATTGTTTGGTGTGGGTGAAGAAATATATATTCTCAGTTAACAAAGGAATATTTTCATGAAATAATCATAATTTAACCATGCTCGAGGCTTATTCATGGGGGTGTGAACAAATAATTTGTTTTTTTCAAACAAACGTTCAATAAGCCATATTTCAATAAGGGATTTGGTAACAGTTAATCATATTTATTTATTATAACCAAACTGTTCTTTCAGTGTGTTCCAATTAAATGTCAGTAGATAGTGAATCGAAAGTTAATATAGGAACATGTAATCCGTTTTGATCGATAACGAATAGTTTAGACACAAAAAACTCCTGGAATTGAAAAATCTGGATTTTGAACACCCTATAATCTGTAATCATTCCTGCTATACTCCAAGTGTGATACATTGATGAAATCAGCTCTTCAGGAAAAATCTAAAAATGCAATAAAATACAGGGTGCTCCATTTAAAATGACTAAGTTGCTAGTTGTTCCTGATAGGAGTGGCAACACTGTATAAATGAAAATATTCTAGACGGATAGAGAATGTTCAATTATCGAAGCATCCCATCTTTCAGAATGTTCTGTCTTTTCGTTCTTTAGATACTTCTAATATGCCATACACCGTGAATCACCCTGTATATCTAGGTACCTATATAATATCATTCGGAATATTCAGAATAAATCAGTTTCAGATTCTTTTTGTGTGAGTTCAAGAAATGTTATCAAATGTTTTTCGTGGCATAGATTTGAGCAAGTAGTTTCGTTGAATATACCGATGAAGAATCGATAGTTTTTATCAGATGAGATTGCGAATTCTCAATTTTTTTTTATATGTATAAGTTTTTTTATTGGTCATAGTATATCCGAGGATATTCCTTCACAGTAGGAAGAATCTCAAAAATTGGTGAGATGTCTAGAATCATTTATTCGATGCATTTCGTGCTATTACTGGCTTGAATCATATTTTGAGTTTGAAAACTTTCTATTTCAATAATCAGCTATTGGGTTGTTATAGGACTATCGTTGTAGTTAATATGAATACTTTTCAAACGATGAGATTTTCACAAAATCCTTAATCACACTACATGTTTCGCTAAGACAGCAACTTCATCAGGTGAAATACTGGTACAATGAAATGAACTAACCTCGGCTCGCCCATTTCTCTATATCCTACTTTCCCAACCTGAAGGATCAGAATTACCTGTGAAGAGGATCGATAAACCTTCATTTCCAGAAAATTGGCACCATATCTACATCGGAATAATATACCAAGGAACAGAATTCAACAGTGGTGAACTATTGAGGTCTAGGTAGATCGTTAAGTAGAATTTGAAAATTTTTGAATTTGTTGATTTCTAATGATTCAAGATGATGAGTTTTATTCCTTCTTTTTTTACGTGTAGAATCACTTCCTAATTTTTTTGGCGTATGTTGACTTTGTTTTATTCCAATATCATGTTCATGAATGCGCTGATTGAACGTACGACCTGTCTGACCGATATATACCTCAGGACAAGATTCAAAGTTGAGTTCAAGTTTCAAGTTGATCCGCTACACCGTATTCTGATGCAGATATTGTGCCTATTTTTCGAAAATGAAGGTTTATCGAACCTTTTCAGAGGTAATTCTTGTCCTTCAGGTTGTGAGAGTAGATATATCCTACTCTGAAACGTAGGCAAGCCAAGTTTAGTTTATTTCATCATTTCAGTTTTCCACCTGATGAAGCTGCTGTGATAACGATACATGTCGTGTGATTGGGAAATTGGTGGAAATTCTATCGTTTGTGGAGGTTTTTACATTTGCTATGGACCTCAATCAAGTAACGGCCGAGTCAATAAAAAAATATCGTTTTTGTTTTGCGCTTTTGTTGTTTCCTAGTACGTGCGTTCTCCTTTACTTCACTCTTGATCGTGAACATTTATGATTGGAGAAGTCTTGTTAGTCAAGAATTCATTTCCTGATACAAATATTAATCACAATATTCGTATAATGTGTTTATAAGCTAGTTTCATGTTCACTTCTTTTGATAAGGAGAATATTGAAACTAATTATTGCCATCGAACGCATTTTTGATAATGTTTATATTACATCTTGAATGGAATTGAATGATTTCTACAGAACTGTTTCATTACATGGATAATATCGATATGCCAACAAAGCTGAAACGAGATCGCGTTCTGCTTCTTGCTATGAACAAGTGATTAGTTTATTCTACAAATGTCAAAAAATAAATAAGGTCGCGCATTGCAACAATAATGAGGAGTGACCCCTTCTTCATTCCTGTACGTTGAAACAACTATGTGCGCTGAAAAGTTAGCAAAATAGTTCAGTGCCCAAAATACATTAGTGTGCGAAATACATATTTCGCGTACAGCTTGTGAGCTACATAAGATTTTTGCATCCCAATCATTCTGGCTTTCAATCGAGTATAAATCCTAGAAATTATTTATTTATGAATGTTAAACAATCATCAATACTTCTCAGGACATTCCAACAGTATATTTTATTTTAATTCGATAATATGATTCTGAAAGAATATTCTTTGAAGTTTGAAAAACAAAATGGTAAAAAACTCATGCGCGAGAAACTTTGGTAATTTCTTACGAGGGACTGCCAAATTGAAT